ATTGTAACCTTCCCGAGAGCGTATGAAAACAACTATTTCTCGAATATTAAAGCAGTCATTAATACTTTTATATGCCGAAAAAAAATAGACTAAAAAATAAAAAAATTTTTTTTTTTTTTTTTTGTCGAAGGTGAGAGTCGAACCCTTGCGTACAATGAGTGATGTATATTAAACCAACGCCTTACACCACTCGGCCATCGCGCGCTGTTCACATGCGTGGCAGTTTTGTACAATATATACATTAAAATGAATTGAAACCGGCTTCGGCGTGATGAATGCTTCGCAAAAGCACCCTTCTTTTACTTTTGCAATGCATATTGGCACGAACTTAGATCAAGATCTATCGGCAGATGTTGTTTTTTTGTTTTTGGAAGTTTATTTTCGTCTTCATGTCAACAATGCAAGATAAAATTGTCGGTAAGATCGATCGAGATTCAATTGTATTGAAATTACCGACCAATCCTTCGCACACATACGGTATCCTCGATCGCTCAAACCATTTTTTAACATGTAAACCTATGGGGTAACCATGGAGGCTGACCTATTTTTTTAATAACCATGGTTATTAAAAATATTAAATGTTTTATGCATGGTTACCGGGAATTTTACAGGAACAGTTGAAGTTTATGAATGCAATTCGACCAATCAGATGGCTGGATTTCTTAAGTGAGGTATATAAAGTATTTTATCAGGAGGGAAATTATTAATCAGTGACCTTATTTCTCTAATTGGTTCAATAGGCATAAAGTCCCCTACGGACCTCGCTAATATATAGGATACAGCACACCAAGGCCGTCTGCCCATCAACAATATCTTCATTCATCATTGTAGGGGGGAATTCTGTCGTTTTACTGTTAAATAATAATTGTCAACACGACAAGGAGCCAGAAATATATATATCTGGAAGATACTTTGTAGAAAATTAATGGTTCGAACAGAGGTGGAGTCGATAGGGGGAGCCTGGAGGGGGAGGGGAGGGGCGACAATACAAGGGACAAGAACACAGGATCACATTTTCAAGGTAATTCTGGGATTTAATCGTGTGGGTCCATCCCCCGTCCATCTCTCTCCCTCTCACCCCCCCCCCCCCATCTCTCTCTCTCTCTCTCTCTCCCCTTTTTCTCTCCCCCTATCCCCCTCCCCCCGATCACATAGCAGTGACTTCAAAATTCTGCAGCCCCGTAATAATTGACCACAACCGATATTTAGTTGTAGCACACTTCTCTTACCTCGTAGTAGTAATCTATCCTATTTGTTGAAAAACAGTTCTTTAATCAAACTTTATGTAATCTTTTATGAAATTTCTATAAATAAGACGTGATCTTAACCTTGCCCTACTTTTGAGGTGAGCGGTCTGCGACCACAAAAATAGACCGATGATGCCTTATGGCTACTCTCTCATTCTCAGACCTTCGTGTGGTCAATCAGCATCCTCAGCGTGCACGGCATTCGTCATTCTCCTTGCTATTTAAAGGGAAAGTCCACCCCCAAAATAAGTTTGTTTCGATAGAGGCAGAATAATAAGAAAATCAGGTGAGTGAGAGTTTGAGCAAATTCTGAATGAAAATAAGAAAGTTATGAATTATTGAAGTTGTGATCAATCAAATACAAATTGGCAACTCTGTGACTTATTATACGAGCTCTCCTTCATTTGCTTTGTGCATAATATTCCATAAAATCAAGTTTTCTTCGTTATTGATGACGGAATACATATTTGTTCCTTACAGGGGGAGTATAGAAACATATTTGCAATTATTATATTTAGGGTGCATGTATGGTTGAAATTTTTCTTGAGGGAAAATGAAAATTTTAGATTTTTTTAGTACTGAGCAAATGGAAGTTGAGCTCGCATGATACGTCATAGAGTTGACAATTTGTGTTTGATTGATCACAACTCCAAAAATCCTAACTTCCTTATTTTTAATCGGAATTTGCTCAAACTTTCACTGACTTGTTTCTCTCATTTTTCTACTCCTATTAAAACTAACTTAATTTCAGGGTGGACTTCCCCTTTAACAATCTTTAATTGGATTCAGATCTATTGGCGTCCAGAGGGCCATAGGCCTAGTCATCTACCTTAAACTGCCTTTAAAAAAGATTGAAACGTTTCAGTTGGCTTCCATTACGTTCAGTTTGTTTTCTCCGTAGGCAGGATGGGTGCGTTCCGTAAACGAAAAGTGTAGCCAACATCTGCTTATTATCAAAAAGGTCATTCATTTATTTAGTTTTAATCTACGTATTTATCTATTTATCCCTTTTATTTCTTTATTTACTTGTGTATTTATTTATCCATTGATTCACTCATTCGTTTTCATTCTATCTTTATATTACTTAATAAACAGCCTCATTGGTATTTTTTGAATGAATTATCTTTAGATCGTAAAAACGCTTTGAATTCACATTAGTTATACCCCCCCCCCCTCCTTCCCCATTGAAAATAATATTTTAGGGGCTGTGACAGTATTTAGAAATAGGAAAGAGGAAATAATATATTTCTATCGGAAATATTCGTCTTCGGGAAGCGCAATTAAAACGAGCGGCATCGTCTAAATGAATTCCCTTCTCAATCTGTCACACGAAATGAAATCCCGCCTTCAAACTGTCATAACGGCGGAGATATAAATTAGGATAATCATCTCTCGCTATATCTCCTTCCCTCTCTCACTGTCTTTATACTCTATTACTTCCTTTATCGAATATGTGGTCATCTTGCGAATCTATAGACAGGATGAAATGAAATTGCACTCAATCAGTTGCAATTCATGGCCAAGCCTCGCCAGGTGGCGAGTGATATCGGTTTCCCCCCAAACCTCTGTTTTTGATATATTTGTGTGTGCTAATTGCTGACGTCATCAACTGCCTGAAGTGGACTTCACCCGACAGGAGGTGGAAAAGGTTGGTACAGGCAATTCCTTCCGGTTTACAGTCCTTTGTTGACACTGTTAGGCGCCTTGATACTGATGCAAATTAGAACACTAACGATTTTGAAATATCACGATTGTTCACAAAATAGGACTACAGAGTGTGTTTACACAGTGGACCCCACCACTCCCATCGCCCCCACCTCACCCCTCCACTTCCGGTTATGATTTTTAAAAATTGCTTTTCGCTGATCTTAATGAGGTGCGATCAAAGAGCACGCGTATTAACAGCAGAATGTCATTTTAATTTAAACACAATCTACCAACAATCCACCTAGAAATCACTTCTATGTAAACGTGCCTGATTCTGATCCTGATTATACAGAATTTATGATAATAAAAATTAAAATATGTTTCCAATTCAATTTAATCTTGACCATACATGTCCCTCGGCCACGTCCGTTCAATTGAAATTTGTCACCTGTGCTCAATTATCAACAATATAATAATAATAATAATAAACGGTGCTTATAAAGCGCTTACCACCGAAGTCTCTAAGCGCTATATTAATAACGGTTTCCTTTACTTTGCGTTTATCTAATTTCATCATGTGTAGGATATTACGATATATATTGTTCAAGCAACCGACATTGCAGGTACGCCCCGACTAAAAAAAAATCGAATGTAACTAGCTGATTCCTACGATTATTCCTCTTTTAAATAAAGGGGTAAACAATAAAGGCCTACACTATGCCTACTTGTTTTGGACCTGCCTTGGCAGAGATGTGTACCGTCCTATTGCATTTAAACTGATAATTAATTTTTCATGTACAAGTTAGGATATAAGTTGTGTCTGGATATATTTTTAGGACTTCTGGTACATTTAGTGTATGTTTTCAGGTCGCGACAAAAAAAAAAATGTTTTCGTTTTCGTTTTAGCCGAAAGATGGCATAAACGAAAGCAATTTCGTTTTGAGTGGAAATTTCACTAAAAAAACACTAGAATATTTCTGAAAATTCCCACTCTTTCTCTCTCTTTCTCTCTCACTCTCCCTCCCCCTCCCCCCCCCCCCCCCCCCCCTCTCTCTCTCTCTCTCTCTATCTCAAGTAGAGGAGTATCCGATGAATAAAAAGTTGGGAAAAAAGAATTTATGTATTTATTTATTTGTACAAAAAGAATCCATCCATAAGGAATATTATTTTGATTTGATTTTTAAAAATCACCATTGCTCCCAATAAACGAAAGTAATTAGTCGCCATAATAATAAGAAGAGGAGACAGTGGACAAGGCCAACAGACAGAGATAAATTTATGGCAATCATCTAATCACGATGACCGCCAACATCATTTCCTGATGACGCTTATTCAACCAACCACCCAAAAAATTTGGCGCGCAATATCATCACAGAAAGACGAACAAATTCATAAGCCGCCCGAGATCGTTTGTCGCGTGCACGCTACCGATTTCAATAATTATGCCAAAACGTAGTCAACAAGCAGGGCACTTATTAAAGAGGGAAGTCATTTCGTAATGAAAATCTCTACTGTGTGGATGCTTGTAAGGTTTATTAGAGCCAATAACCCACTCTGTTGACTCAAGCGTGTCTTGGAATTGAAGTGGTTGTCAAGAAGTCAAAAGGAGGGATAACGACGACTTTTAAGAAAGATACTCCCGGCCTTTTTTGCATCAAGATCGTAGTGAGAGAGGTAATGAATCGCCCATGTTCGAATTTCTTGTAGAATGTTCCGTTGGCTGTCTTCAATTTTTGATGTTTCGGAATACCGCCACAAGAAATCAGGCACTTGGCAAACAGTGGCTTGCAATTAAACTAATTGTTTTCGTCAATGATGACCGCATTTTTCTTCAATATGTCTAACTAACGATCAATTAAGCGCTCAAACTTGGTCTCCATTAATAACTTGACTGCCAACATGTCAAGCGCTTGTCCGGTACGACGTTGAACAACTAAACATGCATTTTTCAAGACATCGACATTATTACGACTGAGGTTGCCTTTAAAGAATTGCCTTTTCAGATGTCTAAACAATATTGGAGGACAGATTTTTCGCGAGCAACCATTCTAGATTGATGCCATTAGCCATTAATCGCCTGATTATTCTTAGGAGTAATGTGGAGATGTCATCTGTTCATGTTGAAACATTTTATTTTCCGTAACGTAAAGTTCTTTTGGGATTCTTTTCTTGAATGGTCGCTCATTTCCACTTTATTGCTCGTTATCAGTGGAGGTTCCGGTGACAGTTACTTTCTAACACGGAATTTGTTAAGAATCTGCAGTGTATTGATGAATTAGAAAAAAGGACAGGTAAGGCACTTTACCTTTTGCAGAGGTCATGCACTTTTAAATGTTAAACAGTGGCCATTGTGAAACTAACGTTTAGTTCAATGGGCATCTCGTTTTGTGAAGTAGCTCATTTTAAGCCAATAGAACCGTTGAATTAGTTTGGAAAGGATAAGAACGAGGATTTATGAAATAACTCTTGATTTGAACATATTGGCAATCAATTTGATGTCTTTTAGCTGAGCCTTATTTGTAGAGAGGAATTCAACGTTGACAGATGCGGAGGAGACTTGAACTCCGTGATAGATGCGGCAATATACATGTAAAGCGCTGGCAAAGATCAATATATATTTCGAGATCACGGCCGGGATCATGTATCAAACAGACATATTGCTTTAATTTTCATGTTTAAGTGGCTTTTATTGCATCGAGTAGGTATAGCGAAAATGAAACTTTGAATAGTATATACCACTGGATTTGACTCCGATGTTATTTCATATTGCGAACCGTATTTAGAAATGTTTTTCAATTTCGGACCATGCTATTTATAGCGCTGCTACACCTCACATAACCTCCCAGTTCGGTTAGTAAATACATCTGCGTGTATGAACCGATTACCGTATATAAATAGTTTGTTCAGCTTGGATCGTTTCATTTCATGATGGAGTCGCACCTTACACATGAGATGGACGCAGTTGGTGTCTCTGATGTGATCAACATGGAGCCGACCGCCACGCCAGTGTTCGAGTTTACCGACTACAACCAGCGTATCGCCGTCGCCTGTCTGTTGGCATTCATCTTCGTCGTCGGGATCATCGGCAACGGTCTTGTTTTGATGGCGGTCACCGTTTCACGAAAACTCCAAACTTCGACCAACGCCTTCGTGGTTAGTCTTAGTGTCACGGATTTCGTCACGTGCTTAGTCCTACCGTTTCAGATCAGTGGTGTCTTGAGCAGGACAGGGTGGATGCTACCGTATGCCCTCTGCAACATCGTTGGCGGCGTCGCTATCAGCTCCGCCATCGCCAGCGTCATTACCCTGGCGCAGATCGCCGTTAACCGTTACGTCATCATCACGTCCGAACGTCGCCGGTACGAACGAATCTTCTCGCGTCGTAACGTGATCCTCATGGTGTCCTTTTCCTGGTTGTTCCCGTTGTTGACCATGGTGTTTCCCCAGGCCATCGGCTACGGGCGGATTGGCTATACCAATAAATACAAGCTCTGCCTCATGGACGGTAATCACGATTACGCTCTCATCTACGAGTTCGGAGCCGCTATCATCCAGTTAACCTGTTTTATCGTCATCACCGTCTGCTATGGATTGATCTATCGATTCCTGCAACAAAAGATGTTCTTCGAACGATGTCCGTCACCCAAGTTTACATCACATGGTGGAAACACCTGCCGTGTTGTTCCAAGCATGTCATCAACCGAGCTTTCGAACACGCAGGCGACCAGGGAGAGCTTTAATGAAATGAGTGTCACTGAAATGAACGGCAACGTGATAGCGGAAGACACGGCAAAGGGCGCGAAATTACCCACGCGCAGAGAGGTACAAATTACGCGAAATCTTTTCTACGTCGTCTGCGGGTTCTTCGTGTCTATTATTCCATACGCGATCGCGGTGTCGATTCCGAACAGCGGGAAAGTGCTGGTCTACTTGGGTGTCCTCGTGACCGCTTCGAGTATTCTCAACCCCATCATCTATGGGTTCAACCATCCTCATTTTCGCGTCATCTTTAGAATCATCCTGCGTTGTGACTGGAATAGAATACCTGAACCTTCTGCATTTTTGAGAGCGTTACTGGGGAAAAGGTAACTTTCAGCTTTTTAAGTTCGTACATGAATATTCTGCAATGAAGATCTGAGGGTTGACAGCCTTTGCATATTTGAAAGAACAATTGGAATGGGCTATTTTGTTATGAAAAATGAAGGCTTCACAGTCTCCAGTCTTTTTAAGACCGTTAAAACGTGGAATTTGCTGAATACTTAGTCTTTAAAGACTAAAAAATCCTCATGTCTTTAAAGTAAAAAAAAAATTGAACAGTTTTTGTTAACCTGTCTGAGCACAAAATGCAGGACGCAATTGTATATACAGGGTGTGCTTCTTGTATATATTTTGTGATACTCGAACGTCTAAATACGATCTAGACTTCTAGAGGAATGTCACGAATATATACATGAGGAGGGAATATTATATTCCAGATAACATTTGTTTATAACATGGATGTAAAATTACCATATTAGCCGATGCTGACGATCCAACTAATCTATACTCGGGAACTCCTACAGTGAAAATAAAAAAAATTATAGAGTTACTATCAATGTATACCAATATATATATATATATATATTGGTATACATCAAAAGAGTTAAAACCTAGAAAATTGATCATTGTTTTAAAAACCATTTATGAACAGTAAATTATTATACATCTTATGAAAGAGTGTTCTATCCCAAATAATCATGTGTTCACGCTTGGATGAACAGGCGACATTGTTTAAGAGAGTGCAAAAATCGACTTGCGCCAAAGTTTTTAATGTGATGTTTGAATAAAACAAATGGGATTTGGGTATTAATTCGGTCTTTGCAGATCCAAATAACATTCCTAACAAAATTAATCATGCCACACATATCAAATATCAAATATTAAAGATCATTTCTGCGTGTGTATGTGTGTGTGTCACAAATGAGATGCAATGCATCTCCTTTGATATATTCAATTCAACCTCTCACTTTAATACTTTTGCGCAAGTCGATTTTTACACTCTCACAAACGATGCCTCCTGTTCATCCAAGCGTGAACACAAACCACACAAAAATGATACCAAATGATTCGGGATATAACACTCTTTCAAAACATGTATGATATCCTTTCGTTCATATAGCTGACTTCTAAAATAAATGACAATTTTCCGAGTGTAAACTTTTTTGACTCATATGGTATGCATGTATGTATTACCTAACTTATTCCTTGAATCCCGGATGTAAGGTAAAATTTTGAATGACTAAACATATACATGTGTATGTTGCAGGTATCACACTTTATCATTTTAGTATGCAAGAACCGTAAACGTATATTATGCAAGAAGCGGTAGATAATTCGTAACTTGAATAATCAAAGACAAAGCTATTTGGTGTCAATGTTTTTTTTGCTCCAGTTCAAATCTTTGTATCATGTTATAAGGATGTTAAGCATGTGTTTGGTAGATTGGGGTTTTCTATAGATGCAGGCAGGCGCGTACGCAGGGGGGGGGGGGTGTTTTTATGTGTATAAACCCCCCTAAACCCCCCCCCCTTTAGGTTTTTTTTTTTTTAATAATAATAAAAATTTAAAAAAAATTATTCCCATGGCTGACCTAAAAAAGGCGACCTTACCCCCCCCCCATCGGAGCAAAATGTCAAATTTTGCTCCCTCCCCCCCCCCTCCCCCGCTTATTCAGCGGCCGGCTGAGTCGTTGCGATTTTTTTGGGACCAACAAAAAAAAAAAAAAGTGTCCTCTTACCCCCCCCCCCCCCCCCACTTATTCAGCGGCTAGCTGAGTCGATGCGAAATTTTCGGCCCGATTTAAAAATGTTAACCCCCCCCCCCCCCTTGAAAAAATCCTGCGTACGCGCCTGGATGCAGGTAGTTAGCCTATGACCAAATTGATAATCAACTGTCTTGAGTCCGCCAGACAGTTTCTTATTTCCCCATTAATGCACATTAGAAACTGCCTCTACTACTTTGAGGTTTACTTATAGAAACAACATCTCAAAAGGCATATGATTTTGAAATTCATCAAAACTACTCATGACAAATTCCTTTATTTAGTTTCAGACTAATTATGGAAAATTAATCACGTATCGGAATTTTAGTATCGTTATCGAATCTGATCGATTAGAGTAATGACATTTATTTTTTTCTTCACATCAAATAGATCATTCTTTTTTATGTCAAATGCAATATCGAAATGTAGGCATGTTCGTTTGTTTCATTTGTCGAATTACTAATCCGTATAGACGAGCAATTTAATAAGGTATGATTTTTTTCATCTGTCAAATGCAATGTCAATAACTTAATTTCCCATTCAAACTACAATCGTGTACTATATGCCCTGTATACTATTGGGTAATTTATGTGACGTATTGTTCAATGACATACCCCTAAACAATGGAATAGATACATTTTGTATTTTAAAAGTAAACTTTGTGCAAGCTAAAATCAAAGGTTATGCTGTCTATTATCTGAAAAGTCAAATGAAAGTCGGCCTCGAACCCTCAATATAATCTTGTTTATGTTTTTGTACTACTTTGACTCTTTCCTTTTCTGTTCTTAATTCATCGATACAAATTTCACAAAGGGAGGTTGTTTGAACAATTCTGATAAGGGTAGCAATAAGAATGCCGGGAAATAAGCCAAAAACTTTCAAACGAGAACAAAAAAACAAAAAAACACCTCGGTTTGTAAAATGTGCTGATAGGTTCAAAAGGATCAAGATAATTAAAAATGTGCGTACCTAAACGAAAGTGAAAGTCAAACAGAAGTTCATGGTACAACATTATATCCTCCCTCCCTCCATAGGAAACCAGATAAGGAATGAGTAATAGCAACATAAATCTTGCTAATAATAAACATTGATAACCACGAATTAAATTATTTAGAACATGCGATACATTTGTGCGTTTACGACATCATTAATTCTTTTAACCTTTTTGAGAGCCTTTACTTTTAACTCTATTCCGCAAGTTTTACTTTCTTTTACTTCATCCATCTAACACCTTGTTCTGTATCTCTCTCGCTCCCTCTCTCCCTTCCTCTCTCTCTTCCTCTCTCTCTCTCTCACTTCACACACACGCACATGTACACAATATTTTCTTATTTGTCAACTACCTGTCTGTTCATCCCTCTTCCCTCTTTTTCTCTTTTTTCTCTCTCTCTATCCCCTTCCCCCTCTATCTCCTTCTCTCTTTCTTTTTCTCTCTTGGATATGAAGGTATTTCTATGAGAAATTCTCTTTAAAAATTCCTCTTCTGAAGCACCCTTTAATAGCATGCAAATGTTGTCAGTCAGTAAAATCAAGTCAAATAATATAGTAATGATTTTCAGTCAAATCAATATTCTGCGCGGGACATAATATGTCGTTTCTATAATGGTTCCCATGTCATGCCCGCCTTTCAACTGGCTTATATAATATTTATGATGTTAGTATATACAAGCTCTTGTACACGTAAATAATAGAAGAGTCAAATCATCAAATTGAGTATATTCTTGAATTCCAACTCGCAACCCCAATCCAACGTCACGACAGCAGAGAGGAATGCATCGCATGTTAATGCTTTGAAGAAGCAATAACATTTACACTGTATACTTAAAATGTGACACTAGTCACCATTTTGCTTCCATGCATAATTACATTTTCCCCGGATTCTCCCGCCGTGTTTAAAAACCAAATAAAAGACCTAGCGAGTCTGTCGTTTGGAAGTGGTTAAGTGGTCGGATGGTCTCTCATCAAACGTTTTCTGTAATCCAAAAGAAGTTTACTCTATGTAGAATGATATTAGTTTCACCCCCCTCCTGGCCTTGACCGTATTTGCTTTTGCCATCTAAATGCAGGAAGGCTCTTAAATTCAATATTTGTGTACATTAATAAAATATATGGAATATTGGTTTGATGATACCAGAATAGAATGCAAATGCCCTAACCGTACATAAGTATATATATTCTCAACTGTGGGTATTTAAAGCGTGTTTGGTATTGGTAGGCTCTTACGGAAATTCGTAAAAATGAAGAGCGAGATATCATAATTCTAAACTGTTGAAGATATTTTTGTTCTAACGCGGAGTCAGAGGAAATAAAAGGTGAAAATAATGCTAACCCGGCGTACTCCCGGACGTTTCCTTTCGATTTCTGGGTCTCCTATTCACAGGATGTGCTCGACATTGTGAGTTTTCAAAATACATCAAAAAGACGCGGTTAATTGCCTTTTAATGATTATGGTGATATTTACTATACAACATGACTTTTAACCGAGTGTTTGATAACGGTAAATATACACAATATAAACTTGCACGATTAATCGGCTTCCCGGGATTTGAGGAAGCAGGATTTTTTTTGACAAGACCGCTGCAATAGCCTTTACCTTCCATTTGTGAGCACTTGACTCTGTTTATTCCTTAATTGAAGTAGCAATATCAAATGAAAAAGATTAATCTTTGCAAGACAACAGTAACGTTGGACTAAATGTTGTGTTTTTTCTTCCACTGACATTCAATTTTAGTGCATGTGATATTATTTTGGTGGTTCAATAATACGCAATTATCTTTCTTACTACATTATAACTTATTTTGAAACCTACCAGCCAAGTTCATTTCACATTTGCAATCACAAGACTAGTAGACCTCCTTGCGTACATTAAAACTAACACCATAGACCTATTTACTGTGGCGGGAGTGGGGTTATGTGGGGTATTAAATCTGGAGAAGGAACGTAATCGGGAAATGACAAAGAGAAGTGAGATTTCATTCATACGTGTATGTCATCACAGGAAAGAAATCATGATAAATCAAAACGATGTCATAACTTAAGATTTAGATTATAAATGAGTATCTAATTAGTATATATTAACCTTTCGTAACAGTTTTGCTGTCTATGTCCAGACGCCTTTGACAGACTGAAGATAAACAGGTAACTATTATTTGTAGGACGGTATCATAGAAGTCCAAATCATCCTGATGATATCGTTAAGTAACTTGGAATTTTGTTTACCTTGATTTATGTTTATGTACATCAAGGTTTACCAAAAGGAATGCTACACAGTGGGATTTACTTGTGACTTTCTATGAATATTTTCTATATAAACTATAAGGACAAATTTACCATAAATTAGCACACTCATAATGTTTATACACATGAAATTCTACAAGAATGTTATTTACGAGAACAAACATAATGCATGTAGTATAACATACATGTCTTGTGTTCAAATGTTCAAAATGAAGAAAACAAAAACATTATGCGACAGGTCTTCCAAGACTTCTTAAAATTACATCATTTTCAAACAAAATGCTACAACAAAGCTTGAACAAAGTGTTACACAATTACAGTGATACAAAACAAACACAGAGCCCCAAGTTAGATAATATGGTTTTCAACAGTCTACATGCTTTATAAGAAAGTATAAGGAAGTATTGACAATTAAGGACTTTATTGGATGACATATTCAGGTCAGATCTTTGTAATTTCCAACACGACACTTCATCTTTACACGCAGATGACCTGACAACAGGCCTTTTATCCTAGCTTACACATCGCCATAAGAAATTGTATAATAAATCCATTTCGAGCCCCGTTCGAGGATAGAAATTGGAATTTATTTCACGATACAGATTGGATAAGACTTTTATCCTTCAGGGATATAGTGCTGATAGAATTTCTACTAAATGGGTACCGACAGAATGACCAGCATGCGTAATTAGCCACTTTCGCTACTAGCAGTATAGTGTCTCAATAGCAATGAGAATTTTTTTTTTTTAATACTTCAAATGAGATTATGATAATAACAATAGCTTACATTTATGATGCGTCTAATACTTTGTTTCTAGGTGCAGTTCATAATATTACCCCGGTCATCGATTTTGGCTTACCCGCACACATTGTATGCACATTCTCCACTCCTGGGGAGCATTCCGGCCAGTCGCCATTTTACAAGCGCCACTTGCTCATCCAACCACATTAACTTTCGCATCCTACCGGGTACCCATTTAGCAACTGGGTGGAGAGTGGCAAATGTTGATTAACGTCTTGACAAAGAACTCGAACCACTCACCTTGCGATCTTTAGTCGGGTGAATTATCTATTAGACCACACAGTAAAAACGCTGCTTAAAAAAGTGATGTTCACTTACAGTTGTACACTATCTTAAACAACAGTTGAACAAATTGTAAACAATGTTGCTCGAAACGAAAGTAATTTTGTTAAACATTCGCTGTTTAAAATTTAATGACTGCTTTATTTACTATACGAGAGCTTTTAGACAGTGTTGTTTACATATGACGTCATGTGTCACGTGCCAGTAAAGTGCGCGTTGGCTAAAAGATTTGTTTCAAATCATGGCCAACCAAGCTGTAGACGTGTCGTGGATGAGTGGAAACGTCGCCGGACTGTCGATCACAAGGTCCACGGTTCGAGTCCCGCCGCGGAACTAATGTCCTATGGCAGCCTAGCATAGCCGGGTAATGTTGGAGCGCCTTGAGGACCTTGCAAGGTCGATACGTGCGCTATATAAGAATCCAATATTATTATTATTATTTAACAACAGCTCCTTTTTAAACAACTTTCTTTAAACAACCCAGTTGGTGTAAACAACCCCCACTGAACAACAGCTCCTTTTTAAACAACTTTCTTTAAACAACCCAGTTGGTGTAAACAACCCCCACTGAACAACAGCTCCGTTTTAAACAACCGTCTTTAAACAACACCAGTTGTTTAAATTGTGATTTTAAACAAGTTGTTCAAAATGTTGATCAACTAAGTGTTTAAACTTTAAACAACTCGAGTTGCTTAACATTTTAAACAACTCTTAGATCAGGTCACCCGTTAATCAACAGTTGTTTAAACTTTTAAACAACATGTTCACTAAATTTTTAACTGTGCACTACACTTCCACGAATTATGATGCAAGTTATCAAATACCAAACTGATCACTGTTTCATAATAATCTTCTAACGTTTTTATAAGGCGCCCTTTTGACTCAAAAGGATTATGAAGGAATATTTTCTTGGATTTCTTAAAGCGACATCTGCAAGATTAAAGGAGTGTCATCTTTGGATGCTAGAAAAATTAGGACCTTATGACACCTTCATACAGATTTGTTTAAAATAATTATCCGCTTCTATATACTAAACTATAAGTGGGAAGTTTTTGGCCTGACATCAGAGTTGATCAAAAGCACACTCACTTGGCGCTTTAAAATAAAAAAACGAAAATCAGTCAATATTCGGGACGACTGACCATCATTTATATTCGTGCGGGGGAGGGGGTTGGGTGTGTATAGCGATGATGATGATAATGAATGGAGCATGTAGTATATCTGTGTATGCACTATGATGCAGTCTATCTATCTTAGAACGTCTATTATAGGTGCACAAAGAAAAAAGTACAGAGTTGCAACCAGAGTCTTCACGAATGTCATATCCTTGTGTCAATTCGTGCTAAAGAAGGCTAAGTCGTCAACTTGGATTTGACATTTCTGAAATGTCATAGTTCTCAACAAGTTAGTGGCCTTTCGGGTCAATGTGATCGTGATGTTCCGTGCTCGATGACGACGGGTCGTCAAGATGGACGCCATCATGTTTAATGCTATTATTGGAAGCTCGTTCGTTGTGAGGAGATTCTCTCCTTAAATCCTTATTAGTATCTTGAGATGTATGCGAACCTTGTTTAAATTCGGATGGGTCTTTCAACTCCTTCAATTCATCTGCTTCTCGTGTGCTACTTGAATCACGATGTCCATTGTTTACAACAATGTCAGCGTCTTTGATACCGCTCTTCAACTTGGCATCTTTCTCAACGCCACTCTCCTGACCTCGTATGACCTTGGAGTCGGTCTTCAGTTCGGCCTCTGCAACTTCAACGTCGCTGATCTCAGCTTGTGTTTCCTCTCCGATGTCAGACTGGTCTGCCATGAGCTCGCGGTTGAGCAGCATGGCGGCCAGCTTGTCATCCTCATGGTGCTTCGTGTAAAGCCCTGGAGCGGGTCGAACCCTTACAGCGGCTCCTAGGCCTACCAGCCCGACTTGCTCCCCTGAGAGTGCCGCTTGGGAGCGCTTGAGGACCTGTTGGCGGTGCGGAAGCAGCGTTGCCACCTTGAGGATGCGTTTCTCCATCTCCTTGTAGGTCATCTGGCGTGAACGTTTCCGGGTGCCGAGGAGGCTGGGGTTGAAGAGGAGTGTGTAGGCGAGCTGCCATCGCATTATCGCTCGAGCGTGTGGAGACATGCTCTCTGCATGGACAAAGAAGTGGTTTAAAGATTTTTAAAAAAGAGAGAAGACCTTTAAGAAGGGCAAACCGTGTAAATAGATGGACAGAGTTAGAGAGTTAGAGAGAGAGAGAGAGAGAGAGAGAGAGAAGGAGTGAGAAAGAGAGAGAGAGAGAGAGAGAGAAGGAGTGAGAAAGAGAAAGAGAGAGAGTAATATGGAGATAAGTGAAGAGTGAGCGAATGAGAGAGAGAGAGAGAGAGAGAGAGAGGGAGAGACAGACAGACAGACAGAGAGACAGGAGGTAGAGAGAGAGAGAGAGAGAGATAAGTGAAAGAGTGAGCGAGGGAGAGACGAAAGGAGATTAATAAACATTAAACAGAGAGGGTGGCTAGATAGCAAGGAGAGATGGGGGGAATTGAGATAAAATTAATGATGGATAGTTAAGTTGGGCAACCACCTAATAATTATGTACGATAATGCCTGTTGCACATGATGCCTGCCTGCGTCATTGACTGACGCGGCCTTTGACACGCGATGCGAAAGTGGTATAGAACCAAAAAGGTGAATGCAACATGAAAGGCGCATGCCTGACGTATGATTGCGTCATGGACTGGCGCGCGGCCTTCGATACGCCATGTGAAAGTTGTATACAACAAGAAAGGTGAATGCAGCATGAATGGTGCTAAGTAACATTTATTTCAATTACTGGGTTATCATGGTTTATGCATTTTTAAAATTTGATGGGCGCAGCCAACAACGGAAAAGAAATGAAGCCATGTGAAAGTAGATCCCAGTCTGGGAATACACTATCAGGACTACGACGAAACATAAATATATTGACATTAAACCATGTTTTAAACATGAACACATCGCCATTATGTACCACTTAAATGAATAACTCACAGCCAGAATACATCAATCAACCTAGAAATGTGATTCGCTTTAAAAGGTATTTGATTGCCCGTGAGTTTCTGTAGCACTCAGGGCAATTAATTGTCTCGTATAATTTGCCCTTGATTTTAATGTCAGCATTTAACGACCCCCTTCTTCTCGGGTGTGAATGGAAGACAATACAATGAACATGATGAAATTGGAAATGATATACGGTAGTACGGTTTGCGATATGAACATGACGGGGATGATCGACTGCTGGTTCATAAAATGTGGACTAATGATGTATTTCTTCGTACACAACTGCAACATATATTTTTCATATATCATATAATATCATTATGATATCATTGCGCTATGAGAGTGAACTTAAGAATATCGCTGTGCAACGTGGCCATGTTAAATAATTATGTTAGTTGTTATAATTATGTTCTTATATATTTTATGTTTTTATTTTATATTATAGCATTATTTTGTCCCAAACGTTACCGAGATCATCATAATTTTTTGGTATACCTAATGATTGGTATTTTTTGTAGAGTCATCTACATTTGTATTTTGCAGTATGTTTTGGTCGTATCGTTATTAAAGTCTCATTCTATAGCCTTTTTAACGTATTAACTTGTGTCGGTATATCGAGGGAGCAAGTGTCAATTCTAACATCAATCGCCAACGTTAAAAGCCTAATAGCATAACGGGGGCTTATCGTATTCAGAGCACTTTTAGTTACAAGGACAATATTTTTCAAGTATGATATTAATTTTACAGAATATGGTTTGATGTAGTTTGCTACCCGGCAGCGGACGACTGTTTTAATGAAAGGTGAATAGGATTATATTCCCACGAGAAATCAAAATGTGGGAGGTCATCTTGGCATTTGTCACCCAGCACCCCCCCCCCCCCCCTCTTCCCCAGACACACAAAAATTCGGGAGATTTTGTTACTCTATATTGCATGGAAATTTCTAAATAGATACCCACATTTAAAAAGTGCTTACAGTGATCGGGAGCGCCAGGAGGGTCAAATCTGACTGACATGAGCGCTATACAAGAACCCAATATATTATTATTATTACCCCCCCCCCCCCCCCTCTCCCGGCTTAACACACACACACACCGGCTTTGTTGACACTTTTAAGTGGTGTTTCGGTAGACGATTCGCCTGATAACTTACATTGTATAAATCACTTATTGAGATATTTCCTCTGAATTTTACGACACTTTTACGTATTGTAGCATTATAATTATTGATTACGCTAATGTTAATAGCGATCCAATGATCAAGACACACAGGCGCGTACGCAGGATTTTTTTTCAAGGGGGGGGGGGGGGGGTTAACATTTATAAATCGGGCCGAAAATTTCGCAACGACTCAGCCAGCCGTTGAATAAGCCGGGGGGGGGGGGGGGGGGGGTAAGAGGTCACTTTTTTTTTTTTTTGGTCTCGAAATTTGAAAATTTGACATTTTGCTCCGTTGGGGGGGGG